ATGCGTTCAGTGACCTCGAATTCTTTATGACTTGCGGCAAGCGTCCAGTCATCTGCGTATCCAAACTTTTTTGATGTGGTTTCTGGCATGTCTGCTATGTAGAGGCTGAAAAGCATGGGAGCCAGCACGGATACTTGTAGAAGTCCATTATTCAGTTTTCTTTGGTACTAGTCTTGTCTCCCAATATAATTTTAAAGCATCTGTTGGATAGCATGGCGTTAATAACCTCAGTGGTCTTTCTGCATGGGATTATTCGCATTAATTTATATATTGCCCCTTGTCGCCACACAGTGTCATAAGCAGCAGGTAGATCGATGAAGACAGCGGTTGTTTTTCATTGCTTTTGAAAGTTTGATTCCACATAATTGGTCAGGGCGAGTACCTGGTCTGTGCAGCTGCGGTTTGGACGAAATCCTGCCTGTTCCACTGGTTAGTGTTGGAATATGGTTTTGCTGATTCTATTATACAACAAGGTGTAAAGCTAGTTCGCGTTCGTAGTAGAACACTACACGTGCACCCTGGGTAACGCTAAATGAACTAGCACAAAAGGCGCCAGACAATCTTGAATCTCCTGGCAATTCAAATATCACAGAAAATCTTTCCAGAAATGACACTTGAAGACGAGTTGTTTATATCATTTAAAAATGGAAATTTTTAAATATAATGATATCTTTAATGATATCTTTGAGTATTGTGGTGAAGCAAAGAGTCCATTGGTTGAAGGGGAAGGAGTTTTCAAGTGATGAATTCCTAAATTTTAACTTTAATTTTTTGAACTGGCTTGTATATTGATGATGATGAATATTATTTTGTGTATACCTGGGAACCCAGAATATAATATTCTGTGTAATGTTTGTCCTAACTAATATATGCATTATTTTATATTATGCCTTATGTTTTTAAGATGTTAATTTTTATTTTATATTATCTTTTGATATTATGTAAGTACTTTATTGTATATTAACATGAATAAATAACTTGAACTTGACTTTATTGTAAGATAGTTCATTTGATTACATGAAATCAACCTTAACTTGAGATAACCTCCCAGAAAATATCATAGCACATGATTTGTCTTTCTTTCTTCTTCAAGTGCCATCTTCGTTCCGAAGGTTGGCGATCATCAGGGCTATACGTATTTTCGAAACTGCTGACCGAAACAATTCGTTGTTGCTACAACTATACCATTCCCGTAGATTCTTTAGCCAGGAGTTTCGTCTTCTTCCTATGGACCTTTTCCCTGCTATTTTCCCTGCATAATTATTCGAAGCAGTTCATATCTTTCGCCTCTTGTAATGTGGCCCAAGTATTGCAGTTTTCGTTTTTTGATTGTAAATATGACTTCCTTTTCTTTGTTCATTCTTCTCAAGACCTCGACATTTGTGACTCTCTCGGTCCATGATATTCTCAGGATTCTGCGATACATCCACAGTTCAAATGCCTCTAATTTTTTGGTATCAATCTTTTTTAACGTCCATGACTCCATTCCGTAAAACAGCACAGAAAGTACGTAACATCTCATCAGGCGAAGTTTCATTTCAAGGCTCAAATCTCTTCCGCAGAACACTCTCTTCATTTTAGTGAATATGGATCTGGCTTTTTCTATTCTTATTTTGATTTCCGCTGAGCTATCGTTGTCTTCATTTATAAAAGTGCCTAAATATTTGTATTTGCTAAAATACAATTTGTCTTTAAAAAATTCCAATAATAAATAATTTTTTTTCTTCAAGTTTTTCAGTTTAGGAAAGAGAAATAGGGACATATCTTTTGTCCATCTTGAATTGTATTGAGGTTAAAATACTTTAACGTAGTCATAATGCTGAAAATTATTAAAAAAAAATTAATAATTCTATTCAAATCAACAGCTGTCTGGTTTGTTTATACGACTTTTATGCCCGGTAATATAAAACATTTTACTTGCCAAGTAAAATTTAGTTTGAAAGTAAAATAATTTACTCTACAGATTTGCGTATTATAAACGCAAAGTAAATTAATTCTGAAAGTAATTCTGCGAACTAAACTATTCGTTAGTTTTCTACCAAAAGTAAATTTTATTTAACATTTGCTACATAGTAGCAAAATAGCATGGAACCTTGTAAAAAAAACTCAGCGGTGATCCAAAAGAACATAAACTACCTTGCAAGGTTACAGCAAACCAAGTCGCTACTCAACTCCTTACGAATGAAAGAACTACTAACCGATATAAATACCCAAACACTAGGAGAACATTGGATTCGGAGACAAACCACCTAGGAACTCCTTTTACACTAAAAGAACTCCACGACGGTCTGAACAGGTTAAAAAACGGGAAAGCTGCAGGTGTGGATGATATATGCAATGAACAAATAAAGCATTTAGGCCAAGGAGCAAAAAACTGGATCTTGCAATTTTATAACACGTGCTGCAAAACCTGCAAAATTCCAAAATCATGGAGGAAATCTAAAGTAATAGCCTTGTTAAAACCAGGAAAGGATCCAGAAGACCCCAGTAGCTACAGACCTATTTCGCTATTGTGTCACTTTTTTAAACTATACGAGAGACTTATACTCGCCAGATTAGAAAAAAAATGTCGACAAGCACCTCATCCCACAACAAGGAGGATTCAGACCTGGCAAATCTTGCACCGTTCAAGTACTCGCATTAACAGAACACATTGAAGAGGGCTTTGAAGAAAAACGTATAACAGCGGCTGCTTTTGTAGATCTGACAGCAACCTATGACACAGTAAGGCACAAAACATTGCTCCGCAAATTATACGATACTCTCAATGACTATCATCTGGGAAAGGTCCTATATTCCTTACTGCAAAATAGACGTTTTTTCGTTATGCTGGAGGGTAAAGTAAGTAGGTGGAGAGTTCAAAAAAACGGCCTCCCACAGGGAAGTGTTTTAGCACCAATGCTCTTCAATATATACACAAACGACCAACCTACTCCGACCGAAACCAAGCACTTCCTCTATGCTGACGATCTTGCAATATGTGCTCAAGGAAATAGTTTTGAAGAAGTGGAGGAGAAACTCGAAACTGCCTTAAAAACAATGACAGCGTACTACCTGCAGAATTCCTTGAGACCCAATCCCTCTAAAACCCAAGTCTGCGCTTTCCACCTTCGCACAAAGGAAGCCAAGCAAAAGCTCCAAATTGTGTGGAATGGTAATACATTAGAACACACAAACCAACCTATATATCTTGGAGTAATTCTGGACCCGTCCCTCACCTACAGACAACATTGCATAAAAACAAGAGGGAAAGTAACAACTAGGAACAGCATACTCAGAAAGCTAACGGGAAGTAAATGGGGCGCACGTCCTGGCATTTTAAGAACAACGACACAGGCACTGTGTTTCTCAACTGCTGAATATGCATGCCCCGTTTGGAGCAGATCTGCCCACACCAAACAAGTTAATACTGCGCTAAATGCGACATGCAGGATAGTAACGACGTACATGAAACCAACGCCACTTTCAAATCTATATAGAGCAGCGGGTTTTGCAGAACCCTCAATACGCAGAGGCGCTGCAGAACACATAGAGAAAATTAAACAGATCGCGGACGATCCGCATGCCCTATACAAAGCTCGAACACCACGAAAACGACTAAAATCTAGGAAAAGCTTCCTTGGAACAGTAAAGGATGAACCGCCTGAGTATTTTCCACTTTCCCAGGTTCAATGGACCGGCCAGACCCTAGACTTTAAAACGTGGAAAACCTTGAATAGGATTAGAACGGGGGTTGCTACAGTAAAATCAAACATGGCAAAATGGGGAAAAATAAACCAAGATGATGTGAACTGTGACTGTGGAGAAACACAGAATATGGAACATCTTCTTACATGCAGAAACTGTCCTCATCGATGTACCCTTGAAGATTTGTGGCTCGCCAACAAAGATGGAACCGACGTAGCCCGATACTGGGCCGAAATTTTATGAATAATATGTCCGGACACGATAAAGTAAAGTAAGTTTATTTAACAAGTAAATATGACACTAATGACAGTTTCAATGTGTTTTCGGCTGGTGTGAAAATATAGTAATAACATTATGTTTTAGATTATAAACATTATATTATATAGTATAAAACTTTAGATTATAAACTTTATCTGTGATACATCACATCAATTTTTAGAATTTAACGTAAATGCAGGTTAAAGTGCACCTTATTTATAACGTTTTTGATACATTACAGGGCTGAATGTTACGATTCAAATTACGTCACGAGAGTACAGTTCGGGCTTAATGTTCATTGGTTAGGCGAACGAGGCAGTAAGTCTACGAACCGTGGATTAATGCATTATATTCACGGAAGCTTTATGTAACAGGAACACAGGAACAGGGTAAAGATCTAACAAAATCAAGAAGAGGCTCCGACGATATGCTCGTTAACAAATACATATAAAAAAATAGCTGTAACAAAATAATTTGATTCCAAACCCATATATACGGCTTCGTCAGCATTTGAAGCTAAAGGATTTTGTTAAAGTACCTTATAAGCAGTAGAACAAATAAATGGACAATACGATGTATTTACGCCTTTATTGATTTTTGTCCTGCGTATATTTGGCTACAATACAAGGAAGAATATTTAGTTGAAGAAACTCTCAAAAAACATATTCAAGATTACCTGTCATTTAAGTTTTCGCTTGCTAGGTCACTCTTGTACTTCAAGAACAGAAGTGAACCCACATCCGAAGAAAGTGACGAAGAAAATGAAAATGTAACCAGAAAAAGAAGAAAGACTGCACCAATTCTGATAAATTTTTACGGTCAAAGGAAGCTAAACACCTCCCACAATTCGTTGATGAAAGCCAAAAATCAAGATCAAAATGACTTTTGTCAAATTTGCCCGGTGCAAGCTTTTTAATGTTGTAGTGTCAATATAATTTTTTTTATTCTCAGTCCAGACCCACAATATCACTAGTAATACTAAAATTTTTGAATAAACCAAAAATGTTTTTAGTTTTTATGATTAGTAATCCCAGTATTTTGCTTATTTGACCTACCGTTTAAGCATGCTTCCAAATATTGTAAACCATGAATAAGATCATACGAAAATTCATTATTGTTATTTTCCAAGGCTTCATTAATTTCGCTCCGTAACTTTTCTTGTGCATATTCATTGGATGCCAGTTCAAATAAAAGGAAACTCATTACCTAAAATTTAATTTTAAGGATATTTTAAAATATTATAGTTAGCAATTAAACAATATAGGCTTTGACACTTTTACATTTAGCTAGAATAAATCATTACACATGAAACTTAGAGGGTAAGGTAAAAAAATAGGTCAGTTCTTTTTTCTTGTATTAAATACCGCACAATCACGACCAGACCACGAAAAAAGAATATTAAACAATAGGTTACAACCAAATAAGTTTTTTCCAAAAACTTGGTGAGCCAATTTATTCCAATAAGTTTCCATAAAACTCTAACTCTATATCATTTATACTTCAATACTTTGGTCATTAAAAAAAATCCAAATCTCCAGTGACTCCTAAAATCTCACAATTTTCGTTTGGTGCAATTTGCTGTATTTTTCCCCAAATGCGTTTTAATGAAACTTGCTTCTGTTGTTGATCACCCTTGTTTTTGTAGGCAGTAAATAACACTTCTTCTTCATTAGATGCAAATCTACTAATGGATGTTAGCAATCACATTTTTTTTCCATTTCCATTTTCCAATTCTCTATTTATTGTAATATGTATCAGAGATTGTATGTCGTTAATCCCTGTCCATTACCGTATATTTCGGAGCCAGGACATTTTCTTGCGTCTCATTCCTCTCTTGCCTTCAATTTTACCCCCGATTATAATTTAGAGGAACTGGTATTTTTCATTTAGCATGATGTGACCTAGATACGCCGATTTCCTTTTCTTGATGGTTTCGAAAAGTTGGCGTTCTTGGTTTATTCTTTTAGGGACATCTATATCTGTGATTTTTGCTGTCCATGGTATTTTTTGGATACGGCGATAGAGCCACATTTCGAAAGCTTCTAATCTGTTGATATCCCTCGTTTTGAGTGTCTAGCATTCTACGCCATATAGCAGCACTGACCACAGGTAGCACTTAGTAAACCTTAGTCTCAGTTGAAGATCGAACTCTGAACAAGTCAGTACCTTCTTGAATTTTACGAAAGCTTGTCGAGCTTGCTCAATGCGACATTTTACTTCCCTGTCCGATGCCCAGTCTTCAAAAAGCCACGATCCCGGGTATTTAAATTTACTCACTCTTTCAATGCACTTAGTATTCAGTGTTATGGTAGAGTTTTCAAGTGCATCCAAGTTTCTGGAGATGATCATAAATTTGGTTTTTTTGGTATTAATCTCTAATCCCATTTGCTTACTGGATTCTCTGATTATAGTGATAAGTTGTTGGAGATCGACTATGTTGTCACAAATTAAGACACCATCATCATCATATCGTATGTTGTTGATCAATTCACTTTGATTCCCATCTTTGCATCCTCCAAAGACTCTGAAAATTTGGATTCCGAATAAATGTTAAATAACAGAGGGAAAAGCACACATCCCCGTCGAACGCCCCTTCTTATATGTATGGGTTTGGATATAGAATTATCTATTTTTAACTGTGCCGTTTGATGCCAGTACAAGTTTTAAATGCATCTTATATCTTTTTTGTCTATATCAACTTTCTTGAGAATCTGCATTAACTTGTGGTGTTGGACACGACCAAACGATTTTTGGTAGTCTAAAAAGCATAACAACACATCCTTCTTCTGATCTTAACAATTTTGGACCAGCACCTGTGTTGCTACTATTGCTTTTCGTGTTCCTAAACCTTGCCTAAACCCAAACTGGGAGTCACTGATGTCCCATTCACATTTTTTGTGTAATCTTTGATGCGTATTTTTAAGAATATCTTTAAAGTCTGACTCATCAGGCTAATGAGTCTGTGATCCTCACATCTTTTTGCATTGACTTTCTTGGGCACGAGAATAAAGGTAGAGCGTAACCACTGTTGAGGATAGCAGATAGTTTCATAAATTAAGTTAAATATTTTGTGTAGTGCTAAAATTCCTTTCATCCAGTAATTTGAGTATTTCTGACGGGATCTCATCAGGTCCAGGTGCCTTATTTTTTTTGAATTTAATATTGCCTTTTCTATCTTCTCTTTGGTGATTGAAGAGCCAGTCAGCTGGTCGTCTGTATAAACTTCACTAATGGGTCTTTCGTGATGGAAGAGCTCCTGGATATAATTTTCCCATATATCAATTTTGTCCTTTTCACCCAGTACTATCTGGTTATCCTGATTAACTATGGTAGTTGGTCTTCGTTTTTTGTATATTCCAGCAGTCTCCTTAAGCTTTTTATGTAAATTAGGGTCGTTGTTCTGTCGTTGTAAATGTTCTGGATCGATACATTGTTGCTTAAGCCATTCATTTTTTGTCATTCTTATGTTATATTTACATAAGTAATACTTCAGCAAAATTTCACTATATTTTTAACGAAGTATCGTTTTTGTAGGTTGAATCTTTCAGCAATATACACTTACCCTAGAACTTGTTTCATAACCATCAGCGAAGAAACTGGCAGCATGAGCAGTAATGTCCATTTCAGTAAATAGACCGGAGTCTGTTGGTAAGTTCCTAACAACATCAAGAAAGTCGTTAAAAACTAAATTATTTTCTTCCCTATATTTGATCGAATCCCTTACTAATTCAAGCAGTTTATCTTCCACGTCCTTAGGTACTAATCTGTAAACACATAGATAAAATTTTATTACAATTTTATTACTAAAAGAACAGTATTAATTAAATTGAAAGCGTTATTTAAAAAATGTAGAAAAACTTGTCTCCCTTTATAAATTTATAGTAATCTAAAGATAAACTAAATTATTCGTGATAAACACTATTTACCAATTTAGAGTATACACTCAAATCCCTAAGAAATGAAGGATTAAGTATCTTTTACTTAAAAAGTCATTTAGTTAAGTCACAAGCTCTTGTATTCATTAAAATATCTTCTAAAATATACTTACTTAAACTTAAGATATTTATGAGCTTTGGGCCATACTGTAAACAAAAGCCACTGCAGACTACTTAGTGATTCCGGTGATAAGAACTTATTTGCCACATCTCTAAAATCGGAATAATTTTCCTCAAAACATTTTCCTTCTAATCCGAAAGCACAAGCTGCAACGTTGTCGAGTGTAAATCTGATACAAATTTCTCTGGCCTCTAAAGGTTGTTGAGATTTGGATTCTTCTATGATATACTTTATCATATTCTTACTATTTTTGTCTAAAAATTTGTACATTCCTTTTATCTAAAAATATATTACTATTAAAACATATATTGGAAATGCCAGAAGAGGTAACCAAATAAACACAGGATAACTCCACAAAATATGTGGAGGTGACGAACTGACAGATCAAGCCGAACAGAGATAAAATGGTGCAGAAATGACACTATTTCGTTTGAACTTTTGCCTCTTATGGTTTCTGGAAAACAATAAAATGTAGCATTTCCTGTTGACAATACATCAATGTTAAAGGAGTGAAGCGTCAGTTGTCTCTTATAGTAGACGTCGTTGATCGGAATATTTGAAGTGGATAATTTTTTTCAAAATCCATAGCGACTGCTTTATACTTAACATTCTGCATTGCTGCTTTCCTTGCCTTTCTCTTTCTTTAGTAAAATGCTTCCGCTTTGGATTTGTGTAGGCTATTTGCAAAAGTTATTCTTTTTATCTCAACTTCTATCTTTTGTTTTTCAGATACATCGTTTGTTGTCTCTGACATATGAAATTCGAACTATAGATCACGAAAACATAAAAGCAAAGTTTATCGAAGGAAAACGATAGAGCAAACTAAAGTACATGGAGTTGCTCACAAAACGCATTAAGATGATAAGGATGTTCAAGTTCACACAACAGGAAGTGACTGTAGAGTAAGTTTTTCTATAATAATAGGCTGTTTTTCAGTGCTTATGACTTTAATATGGGTTGCTTTATTACTTGCAAAGTTTCTTACTTCGTTTATTATAAGATATGTTAAACTCGATTTAAAATATTATTTTTTTTTACACTAGATGTGGCACTTATACATTATGTAATGAAATTGAAACCTAACTTAAACTACCGATTATCAACAAAGAAGGAACAGCTTCAAGTGAGAGACCTTCATCACGCGCAAACCAAGGCATAAAAAACGTCTGTATAGAAATAATGTATCTGTAATAGAGTTTGCGTTTATACAAAATATTCCGTTACGCAATGTGACTACAGATAAAATATTCTACAGCAAGCAACTTCAGTATGTCGGAGTTATTAATGTCCATATTATGTATATTTATGAAGATAAAGATGAAGGTAGTCTAAAAAGACTGGTCCACAGATTTAACATAAAAGCAAAAGAAATTATAGGACAAATTATATCATAAATTATATAGAAAATATAGACAAATAGGACAATAGTAGTCAGCAAAGAAGCAATAGAAAATGATGATATCAGTATTAAACAAGTAATAAAAATACCTGGCAATTACACTGTCTAGCTATGGAAACCTGGAAAAAGAGGTAAGAGATCAAGGACAAAAATTAAATAGACTGGTAGGATCTCTTAATAACACTGTATCGCGAAATAGGCACATTAACAATAAGATGAAGTCATGAATTTATAAATCCAGTGTAAGACCAATAATTATATAAGCCTCAGAAACAAGACCCAACGCAGCCACAACTCAAAGGCTACTGGAAACGGCAGAGATGAGAGTACTTACTTACTTACTCCGTGGCGTTACAACCCTTCGTGGGTTTTAGCCGACTCGACAACATGCCTCCACTGTTTTCTGTCTTGAACAACCTCCATCCAATTCTCCACGCCCATATTGATTAGGTCTCCTGCTATATTATCTCGCCACCGGAGACGAGGGCGTCCGCGTGGTCTCCTTCCAGTTGGGACTTCCTCCCACACCAGTCTTACTGTTCGTTTGTCAGAATGTCTTCTGAGGTGTTCTGCCCATTGGAGTCTTCTGAACTTTATTTCTTTTATGATGTTTGCGTCTGGGTAAAGTTCTTCAAGCTCCTTATTAGTTCTTATCCTATATTGTCCTGATGCTTCATCAAGCACCGGACCAAAGATCTTCCGTAGGATTTTTCTTTCCCAAACACGTAGTCTCTCTTCATTTGCCTTTGTTATCGTCCACGTTTCGCTTCCATACATCACAACGGGTCGTATGATTGTTTTATAGACCTGTATCTTCGTACGTCGTGTTAGTTGTTTTGATTTTATAAGGTTTTGGAGGGCAAAAATACATCTGTTGCCGGCCTGAATCCTGTTGTTTATTTCTTGTGATCCGTTATTGTCTTCAGTTATTGTTGTTCCCAGATACTTGAATTATTTAACGCGCTCAAAGTTAAAGTCATCGATAGTAATGTTCTGACCGATTCTGTCTCTGCTTTGGTTATTGCGGCTCATATACATATATTTCGTCTTGTTTTCGTTGATTTGGAGCCCCATCTTTTCTGATTCCTTCTTAAACCTTACGAAAGTCTCCTTCATCCTTAATCGCGTGTTTCCTATTAGATCTATATCGTCTGCAAATGCCAGTAGTAAGTTTCGTCCTTCTCGATGAAATACTGTATTCGGTTTTTCGATTCTTGCACTTCTGATTATGTGCTCCAGAGCTAAGTTAAAGAGTTGTGGTGAAAATGCATCTCCCTGTTTTAGTCCATTGTTTATTTCAAATGTCTCCGAGTATTGTTGTTCAACTCTCACCTTACATCGTAACCGTTCCATACACATCCGTATCAACCGGACTAGTTTTTTTGGTAAGCCAAGTTCCTGCATCGCTGTCCACATTCTGTCCCTACATACTCTATCAAATGCTTGTTTAAAATCTATGAACATCTGATGAAGCTCACGATCAAACTCTCAGCATTTTTCCATTATCTGTTTTATTGTGAATATCTCGTCAATTGTAGAGCGACCCGGTCTAAATCCGCATTGATAATCTCCAACGATTTCTTCTGTTTGCAAGGATTTTGTAGGTGGTGTTTAGGAGTGTTATTCCCCTGTAGTTAATAAATTGCTTTTTGTTTCCTTTTTTGTGTATTGGTACAATAACCCCTTCTGTCCATTCATCTGGCATTGTTTCTTCTTGCCAAATGTCTTGAATTAGCTTGTATATCGAACTGTACAACGCTTCTCCTCTATGTTTTAAGCACTCTGCGGGTATACCATCGCTACCTGGTGTCTTATTATTTTTGAGTTTTTTAATTGCCTGTATTACTTCTTCGTATGTCAGGTATTGGTCTTCTATTTCAGCTGTATGTATCTTTATGTTTGATGTACTTCTGCTAGATTGGTCATTCAATAGTTGATAGAAGTATTCCTTCCAGGTTTTTAAGATTTCCTTGTCATCAGTGATAAGCTGTCCACTGTTGATTTGAAGAAAGTTTCCTGTTCTTGCTTGGTACCCGGTCTTGATATCCAAAACTCCTTTAAAGAACTGCCTTGCTTGTTTGTTCTTTCTTTTTTCTTCTATATCTCTGATTATTTATTCCTGATACTCTCTCTTCTTCCTTTTCATTATTTTTCTTGTCTCTGTTCTTCTTTGTCTATACATTTCATTGTAGTTGTGCGAGGGGTTTTGTAGCATGTTCCTTTTGAGAGATGAGAGTACTGAGAAGAATTACAGGAAATACGCTGAGGGATCGAAAGAAAAGTAAACACATTAGAAGAAAATGTAACGTACAGTTATAAATGAATGGGCACAAAATAAAAAAAAGAATGGAATAACCACATAAGTAGAATGGAGTGTCATTAAAATGGTAAGAGATAAGTCACCAATCGGTAGAAGAAGTATCGGATGACTGCGCAAAAGATGAAGTGACAACCTTCCATAGAGGTATTAATCCTCCAATAAACAAGCAAAATTGAAGAAGAATATAATGTATACTTATCATAAAGGAATCGCTAAACATGGCCAAAATGTAGTAACTTGCATGATATTTTAGTATTTGAGAGATCATATACTCTATAAAATGGATGAAATATGGTTTTTCTCATATGGTTGCCTGAGTCAAAACAAAAACTATGTCTTTATCCACTTTTAATATATCCTGGTGCATGTACTGGAATTAGAATCAGCGATAACATATTAAACTATGTATATGTAGTTTCATACCTTTCCTGACGTAAAACAAAATGTAAGCTGTGCTCTTTTTGCTCGCCATTCTGCTCCTTTCATTACAAATGGATTTCGGCCAAGAATAGGATCCACTTCTTTGTCAACTTGAAAATCATTATCATGAAAGTTTTTAAAATTTGTTGTTAATATACTTTTTATAAAATCTGGATCCCGTATTACTAGTACTGGGGTTGCATTTTTGTATACTCCTACAAAAGAATGGCCTTCGTACTCCCTAAAAATTTAATCAGTTCAAGCCATATTTTTAAAGTTAAATATAAAAATTCATAGTTGCAAATAAATATGTTGGACATCTAGTTTCATTGTGCATTCTTTAGCGTGTAAGTATTAATGATAATAACCTAAGTATGATTAAAAATCTTTACTGGCGCCATGACGCCAAAATTAGGATTGACGAGGATAGTTTTAAAGAATTTTAAATATAAAGAAGAGTAAGTCAGGGGTGCATTTTGTCCCCAGTAATACCTAACATCAATTCAGAATTTGTTTTTAATAAAGCATTGGATAATATTCAATACTATTCATTTATTTGGAGTGTACTCTCGGGAAGATAATCAGGTAGTTTCCTATTGCCTGTCTGATCACAGTATTACAGCCGATTAAATAATTATGTGTGATATTCGAATTTGTTATAAAGCCACCACCAGAACTCATTCCACTGCACCATTGATACAGTAATGACATTGCTGCCCTATACCATGCTCTCAGTTGGTCCACGGGTGCTTATTTGGTAAGACCTTATTTACATATCTCCTACATATCTGCAAAACATTTACCTATCATTCCGTGAGATGCGCCATATCTGGCGCATCCCGCTCGTCCGTCTTCCGCGAAGTACAAAAGAGCTCCTACTTAATTCAGAACTCCTCCTCCACGCAGCCTGGGACGGACACGATAGAAGGCCGAAGACTAAGAAGAAGATATTCAATACTAAATAAATACTGGTGGAAAAGTACTTATGTGAAGCCGTCCATATGTCTCAGGGTCGCAGCCAATGAAGGCAGCAAGCCATTTATATTTATAGTGTCACCACGTCCTGGTAAAGGAATGAGGAGAAGGATAAAAATTATAGCATCAATATTGATAATTTGGAGTACGCGGATGAATGGTATTGATTTTAAGTAGTTACAAAGAACTTCAATATCTAATAAATAGTATTACCACAACGTGTAATGAATATCGACTGAAGCTAAACACCACAAAGACAAGGGTGATGGTTGTTAGTATAATACAACCAGAAATAGTAACAGCTTATCGAGAAGAACTGGAAAAGCCAACAGTATCACGTATCTTGGTTGTAATGTAAAAGAGAACTGAGACAGAAGCAAAACGTTAGAATAAATACGTATATAGAAGGCCAGAACTATATTTTTTAATTTGAAGAAAATCTTATGTGAAAATAATATTACTTTAAGACTAAAAATTAGATTAGTAAGATATTAGATGTTATGCGATCTATATTCTTAGTGACAACAACGAGGACCTGTTGATAACAACCTCAGTTGTTATCAACAGGTCCTCGTAGACACTTCGTCTCAGGACCATTTTACTTATGTAGAGTCATACGCCGCCATGTTACCTATCCAACGGTAACTTAAACATGACAACTTATAACTATTAATAATGTAAAACAACTACAAATTTAAAACATTTAAAGGGTTTTGACCCATATATTTTGGTGGCTACTAGCATGTACAACCGTTTGCACTGATGATGGATTTATCAATCCGAAAACGTTTTGCAATGTGTTTGTGATAGCCCATTTAAGGCATTTTTTATATACCTTATATAAAGGATTTTAAAAAATTTTTGTGACGTATGGTATACAGCCAGCTGTAGGAACTTAGTTTCCTAGTGGAATTTTAATTAAGTTAAATTTTGTGTAACATTTATACATTTTAAGTAACCTAATAAATTGTTCGGAACTAAACTTTTGTTGAGGAGTGCTTTCAGGTTATTGGGCAAATTGTAAGACTGTCTTTGATTTACATATTTAGGACAGTCTATCAGGAAGTGCTTTATACTGTCTACTGTATTGCGTGTTTTGCATTTTGAAGGTTCACTATTTGGGAAGAGATAGGCATGAGTATACCTACAGTGTCCAAGTCGTAGACGTGTAATAATAGTTTGGCATCTTCTACTTCTGGCTGTGGACTTCTATGACAAAATGTTACTTTTGACGATTCTAAGTTTCGACCTAGAGTCATTCCACTCCCGATTCCATGCACTTAAAACCTTATTTTTGAAATAAACTTTTAGATCGCCTGCGACACTCCGACACTCTGTTTCTAATGCGTCACTGGTGATGGCATTACGCGCATTAGTATCTGCTACTTCATTTCCTTTTATGCCTATATGAGATGGTATCCACAGGAAGTGGACTCTTCCGAAATTTTCTGACGCTTTCATTAATTCGGCACTGATAATTTTCTCAATGGGGTGTTTAGGGTATACATTTTGCATAACTTTCACTGCGCTGAGAGAGTCAGAAAGGACTAGACAACAAGGAATGTGTTTAATATTTACTTGCTTAATGGCTTTGAGAAAACCAAATAGTTTTGCAATATAGATGCTAGAATTTAGAGGAAGTTTAAATTGAAAAGTGTCATTTGGGGTTACAACTGCCACTCCAACGCCAAGTTCATCTTTGGATGCATCTGTATAAATTTTAATCCACTCATTGTATTGTTGATCTAGGATTGAATTTAGTTTAACTTTAAAAATAATAGGACTAGTTTCATGTTTATTATATATACTTAACGCTGTAATGACTTTGGGCTGTTTAATAGTCCAAGGTAAATAGTTATTGGTATTCGTTTGAAATACTGTTGGGAATTGAATGTTCAGTCTGGAGCTATATAATCGGATTCTCTCGTAATAAGGTTTGAGGGCAAGGGGCTTATTATTGTAATAAATATTATATTTGTTATTAAAAGTATTACAGTAGAGGGTTTTTTTATATTTGAGGCTACTTAAAAAATATTGTTTACCTATAAAACGGTTCTTATAAATTCCAATGAAAAACGGTTGAAATAGAAGTTGTAGATCGTAAAAAGTCCTTTGTTTTGAGAATAAGTTATTACAGCATACATTTAGAGTGACTGTCTTGGCAAGTACAGTTGTTTAAATAATCAATCTCCCTGATAAACAAATTGAATAACTACTTATAAACTATTTGAAATTTAAAACACTTTAATACCTTATTCACTGTCGCACTTTTGAGTAGTTATATATTACATGTTATTATGCAAAAACAAAGTTTATTTATATTTATAAATTACTTCAAAATTAAGGGTTTTCGCAATTATCTTGGTGAATTGTTTATAAATTTTATTTAAAAAACTTACAGATTTAAAAACTTTTTAAGATAACGTTTTATTTGAACTATTTTTCTGGCCATATTTGAACTGCATAAAAATCGTGTAAAAGGCAAAAGATGATTTTTTACTTTTTAAGATAAATTAAAAAAGCAAACGAAAATCAGCTGTACGTCTTTACCGATTTCTAATCAGCTACCTTTTATATAGCTTTTACATCCTTCAAATATATTTATAAAATTTTTACGTGAAGTCAATAATTTTTGGTCAATCTTGGCCGACTGACAAAATCCTCCCAAATAATATTTTAAAAATTATTGAAATTATGACATCTGTTACAAAATTTAATGCATTATTTTTATGTTCTGTTTAAAATTGTATGTCTATTCAAAAGTAAATTTTGTTATTATTAATAGTTATTAATATAAAGATAACCTGTAAATTTTAGCAACGATAGCTCCAGCATTCATCTCTCCAGTAAAACTTCTTAAAAAATTTCCGACAACCGGTAAAGGTTGTGGTCCAGGCACACCATTTCTACTCCAATAAGAGTATATCCGATGCATCCATATAAAAAAAATAGGTAAAATTACTAGTAATAGCAATAACATCTTATACGCTCTGCTTGACACTCACAACTGATGTTGATACCAATTTATATTCGTATGAGATGACGCAATGTTTATTTTTAGTTGATAAATTAATGACAAACATTTATTTTATTTTGGATGAAAGGAGATTAACTACGTTACTACATTTCTATTTACTTTAAAAAAATTAGGAATTTTAAGTTTCAATCGATCTAATAAAATTAATTATTTGATTTTGTAAGGTAGGAAATTTGAATTTATTGTCGTGAAAATCTTAAATTATAAAATAGAAAATAATATTGATTGATATATAAAGTAATAAATTATTCTCTGTACACAAATTGTTGATAGCACGAAATATGCCTCAAAATCATCAAACGGTCGTAAAATTTGTATCATCATAGGCGTTCCTGAGGTGTTTATTCATTAAAATTAATATTAATATTAATAATGTTTTAATATCTACTGATATATTTAGTAAAAAACAATTAAAACTTTCACGGCTAATGTTGGTTATTATATTATATTAATAAAAATAATAATTTAACCATTAACAATTTTGTAAATAAGAATACCTTATCTCTTTGGATATTTATATCCGAAGGTACTATCGGTTGCAAGATAATTAGGATGGAGTTCCCCAGATTTTTAATAATTTAAGGGGATAGATGCCGGATTTGGCCACGTGCCTCGTCTGTTTAGTTTATATTCGAAACTTAACTTAAAAGGGTGAAGATATTACGAACGAAAACAATGTGTGTGTTTAGTACGTTTTTGATCGCATGTAATTTACGGCTCGTCGGTGTTTCCGCTTCTACGGCAGTAATTAGCGTCTCGAATATTTCTTTTGCGAATTATATGCAGTGCGTGAGTGATTTTTTATTCCATATACCTAAGAACATGTACGTACCTTTCGCTCGTGATCGTTTTGTTGGATTGTTTGTGATGGCTTCATCATCAACATCATCAAGTTTTACACCGGTACTGTTGCGTGCAGTCAATAAGTCTGTCTATTCACCAAGAGAGAAGACTATTGTCCTGAATGATCACGATGCTCTGGTTTCTCAGAATCCTACAAACACTGTTCGCAACATAGTCGAAAGTTGCGCCAACATGACTGGCGTAGGGGAGTCAACTATATATAGGTTCCTATCAGAAAGAAAAAAACACGGTATAGCTAACCCAAACACAAACGAACACTTAAAGAGAGGGAAAAAGCCTATTGAACTTGATGAATTTGCCAAAAATGGTATTCGAAGGAAAATTCATAGACTTTTTTTCAAAAAAGAAATACCAAACCTAAATAAATTTTTACAAAAAGTTAGAGATGATCCGGATTTGCCTCATATCGGACGAACTAAATTGTGGCAAGTTTTAAAAGAATTAAATTTCCGGTGGGAGAAATCAGACCGAAAATCACTTTTGATTGACCGGGAGGAGATAATACTCTAAAAAGAGTTTGGTCAGATAAAAATATATTAAGCTCCAGGCAAGCCTTTATGGAATGTTGGTCTACTTGTATCTTTCCACCTTCTGGTAAAGGCAGTAGATTAATAATTTCTCACATTGGCAGTGAAAAAGAATTTTTTAAGCATGGTTTGTTGGAATTTCAGTCCAAAAGCACAAAAGACTATCACGAGGAGATGACAGCTGATGTTTTCGAAGAGTATTTTGTGCAGATTATTGAACACATACCACCAAATTCAATTATAGTATTAGATAATGCACCTTATCATTCACGACTAGTAGAAAGACTTTCAACGACTGCGTGGAAAAAACAGGATATTCTTGACTGGCTGCGGAATAAATACCTGCCTTACGAAGATGGAATGGTAAAAGCAGAACTTTTAAAAATTGCCCGGCAACACAAATCTAAGTTCAAGAAATACGTAGTTGACAAAATGGCGGAAAGGAGAAACATCACAGTCCTTAGACGTCCACCCTACCACTGCGAAATAAATCCAATTGAACTCATTTGGGCACAAATGAAAAGTTATGTGGCTAGAAAAAATACGTCATATAAAATACCAGCTGTACGTGAATTGTTATATGAGTCTTTACAACACATTACAGAACAAAACTGGAAAGATGCAGTAAGACATGTAATAGAAGAAGAACAAAAAATGTAGGATCTTGATAACATAATTGATACGACCGTAGAGACACAACCGCTAATTATTAACCCTCAAGACGACTCGGATTCCGAAGTTGATCCTATTTATTTTGAATTTGAATAGTTTCCTAATCGTTATTATATAAGGTAAGTGATAGTAGTTGTAATCGTAAGGTATTAAAGGGGAAAGGCGCAAAACGTCGCCTGTCAAAATGTTCAATGTGTTTTAAATGTATCGATTTTTTTTTCAAATCCTGAGAAAACTAAAAAGTCTTTTTGGAAAAATTTAAAGGCAGAATAAAATATTTATTAGAATAAATTAAAAGTTTCTTTTGCATGCAATATTTTCAATTAAAAATTATACTATATTCTCTCTTTTATTTTCACCCCTGAACATAATAAAATAAACATTGTAGAAATTTTCAGGGACTTTCTGTAATATACATCAGTATACACATATATAATACCCTCAGTAATAATGTAATCTTTTATTCTGCTTTTAAATTTTTCAAAAATATTTATTAGTTTTCTCCGAATTCGAAAATAATGGATACATTTAAAACACATTTGGTGCCTTTCCCCTTAATTAAATAAATGTATCTTTTACAAATGGCAAAAAGCTTTATTTTTAAATAAAATATTTTATTTTATTATAAGTTTTATTGAAACAAAAATACAATTTAAAAACTATATTTATTTAGTTCAAATAAATGTTTCAATCATATACTCTACGACACTGGTCGGCCAAAATACGTTCCTAATCGGATTATAAGCTTGACTGCTGTATTGTATTCCGGCAGATACAAGGTGGGTTAGTCGAGAACGTCTTAAATCGTCAGTTTCAGGTTGGTTTTTACTATTATATCGTATTGCCTATCCTTTCTGTATTTCAGTTCTCTAATTAGGATTAAACTTGTAGTGAGCTATCAACAAATTGTGAACCCAGATAAGTGGATATTAGCTAAAAGTTAACAAGCAGTAAAATAAATCATCTAGGCTCCAAACGCTTTATCAAGAATTTTGTTTTTTATGTTGTACATTATGTTTTAATACACTGTGGTCCAACCCCAGGCACGCGGATTGCATGCAGCCCGAGTCTCGTTAAACTGCGGCCCCCGCAAACACATTCCAAAAATATTGACATTGATAACTTTTACCTGGTACAACCCTGTCTAACTTTCCGTAATCTTAAGAAAGTAGTTAATCTTGAACACCCATTCCCGATGAGTTAATGGTGTTAATAAGAACAAAGAACTTCTTCATGAACTGGCATTTCTTACAGATATTACCTCTCACTTGAACACATTAATTAAACCTACAACTCCAGGATGAAAATAAAACAGTCTCACAGTTGGTTGGTAAAATTGAAAAATATCGCAAAAAACTTGATCGTTTCGAGGACTGCATGAAAACAAACGATCTTACACATTTTACCGCTTGTTCTGAAATAAATCAAGAAGAAATGGTTGATTTCTTGAGGTTTGCAAAAGTTCGTACAGAAATAAAAAGAGAATTCGATGAAATGTTTTCGGAATTTGATGCACTAAAATCTGATCTTGAGCTTTTTAACAATCCAATGGAAGTCACCATCCAGAACCAATCAGTAGAATACTAATTAGAGCTATGCCAACTACAGACCGATTCGTTTTTTCAAGCAAAGAAAAATGAAGACATTAGTACCTTTAGGAAGTTAGTCTCCAAGGATCGTTTGTCTAAACTTTGTAACTTTGCCCTGAAACTATATTCAATGTTTGGTAGTACGAATATATGTGAACGTACATTTTCTCCTTTGAAGCGTATTTAATCTAAAATACGCAATCGCATGGAAAACGATTCTCTGGAAGCCTGTATTAGATTCACTATGACTAGCATAGATATAGATCTGCAAAAGTTAGTAGAGGATAAACCCTTGCCTCAAATATCCCATTGATTTATGTTAAATTTTAAACAAAACACGTAAATTCTAAACCATAATAAAATACATGTAAATAATATTTCGTTTGTATATTATTTTTCAAAATAAACTTTTTTTAAACAAGTTGATTTCTCCGGCCCTTCATAATAATTTAAAATTTAATACATCCAACAACGTCTAAAATGTTGGACCACACTGTTAAAACCATACAACTTATTATTTGTATTAGTTTTGTCATTTTGTCAACATTTGCAAATTTTTCTTATTTGTGAATAGATACCTTGCAGTAATTTACTATTGGAATCTGATTAAGCATAATAAATAATTAACTAATCTAAATCAACTAATCTAATGTATCCAATCAAGAACATTAATACTTACTATTGATAACTATAACAAGAATAATAATTGTTTGCTTGGGAATGACAACTACAAGCTAGACTGGGATTGTATTGCATATACAGACCAAACAGTAGCAGATTATAGACCAGAGTTAATAACTCAAAATACATGAAAGTAGGTCCGCAACCACAAATACGACGGCCACTTGTTATAGAAAACGACGTCATCGAAGTAGTTAACGAATTTGTATACCTGGGAACGCTCGTCAATACTGAAAATGACATTACCGCAGAGATAAACCGCAGAATTTGCACGGCTAATAGATGCTATTTTGGGCTTAATCTCCTTTTTAAATCTACAGCTTTATCAAGAAATAGAAAAGTAAAACTCTAAAAAACAATAATACGCCCAGTCCTAACATATGGTTCAGAAACCTGGACTTTAACAAAAAGCAATGAAAACATGTTAGGATGTTTCGAAAGAAAAATACTGAGGCGAATCTATGGAGCGGTAAATGAAAATGGTGTCTGGAGAAGACGATACAACTTCACACTCTATAGAATATACCAGGAACCAGATATCGTAAAACACATAAAGATAGGACGTCTGAGGTGGGTATGGAGCAAACCGACCCAGCTAGAAAAACGCTCCTTGATAGACCTATTGGTCAA